ACGGCGCCTGCGAGCCGGCGCTCTACCGCAAGGGCCTGGCCTGCTTCCACCTCGACGAGTTCGAGACGGCGCTGGACAGCTTCCAGAAGGGCCTCAAGCTCCTCGGCGCGGACGCCGCGGCCGCGGCGACGCGCAAGTACGCGATGTGGGCGCGCAAGTGCGAGGCGGAGATCGAGGACGAGGACAGCGACAGCGAGGAGGAGGAGGAGGAGGACGTGCCGATCGTCCCCGCGGCGCCCATCGCGACCGCGCCCGCGGACGAGAGCGGCGTCAAGGTCGTGCCCTGCGACGTGAAGTACCAGTACTACCAGACCAACTCCCACCTGACGATCACGCTCCTCGCGAAGAACGTCAAGGAGGAGGACGCGGAGATCGTCATCACCGAAACGACGCTCATCTGCAAGCTGAAGCGCGACGGCGGCAAGTCCGAAATGACGGTCATCAGCGGCGAGCTCTACGACCCCGTCGTGCCCGCCGAGTGCAAGGTCAAGTACTTTAGCACGAAGATCGACGTCAAGCTGAAGAAGAAGGACGCCTTCAACTGGAACGAGCTCCTCAAGGGCGACCTCATCGGCGAGCCGAAGAAGAAGCCGCCGACGTTCAAGCCCGCGCCGGCGAGCACGACGTCGACGGCGACGCCCTACGCGGGCAAGCGCGACTGGCACCAGCTCGAGAAGGAGATGGAGGCGGAGCTCGAGAAGGACAAGCCCGAGGGCGAGGAGGCGCTGAACAAGCTCTTCCAGGACATCTACGGCAAGGCGACGCCCGAGACGCGGCGCGCGATGAACAAGAGCTTCCAGACGTCCGGCGGCACCGTGCTCTCGACGAACTGGGGCGAGGTCGGCAAGACGGACTACGAGGACGGCGAGAACCGCCAGGCGCCCAACGGCATGGAGTGGAAGAACTGGGAGGGCGAGAAGCTCCCCCAGAAGACGTCGGACTAGGCGCCGCCGCCCGTCTGGTAACAACCCCCCTTTCGAGCCCCGGGACGGCCGAGGTCCGCGCCGCGTTACAGCCCCTGGCCCGGGTCCGCGCGGGGCGTCGACGGCGCCTCCACGAGACCGAGGATGTTCGCCGCCTTGGCGAGGCGGTGGGCCCGCTCCGACGCCTTCTTCAGCACGAGGCGCTCGCGCTCCTCCTTGATGCGGATCTGCTCCTTGAGCTCGCGCTCCTTGGACCGCGCGTTGTGCTCGTCCGATTTCGCGGTGTCGAGCATCTGCTGCATCTGGCGCTTCCGCGCGTAGGACACGCAGAGCGACGGGAAGCTCAGCTCCGTGGGCTCGCCGAGCGACGACGTCGCGTCGAAGAAGCGCGCGATGGGGTTGCTCGGCGTCTCGGACACGTTGACGAGGACCTCGACGAACTCGCGGAAGCCCAGGTTGCCCGTGCCGTCGCTGTCGTACTCCGCGACGAGGTTCACGAGCTCCTCGTGGGACCGCACGAGGCCGATGGCCGTGAGCGACTGCTCGAGCTCCGCGATGGAGATGCCGCCGGAGCCGTCCTCGTCGAGGGCGGCGAACCAGAACTGGAGCATGCGCAGCCACTTGAGGTCCGCCTCGAGGCCCTCGGCCTTGCCGTGGACCCGGAGCCACTGGAGCAGGTTGCGCTGCTTGTCCTCCTGGTCGCCCTGGGTCAGGATCTGCCGCGGCGTCTTCCGCGCGGACGAGCCGCCCCACGTCAAGGGGAAGTCGGGCTCGTCCCACTCCGCGAAGACGTAGCGCCGGTCGAGGTCGGCCTCGTGGGACCTCGGGCCGCCCCGCCGCCGCCGCCGCGGCGTCGACCGCGACGACGACGACGACGACGCGGACGACGCGCGCGACCCGCCGAGGCGGTCGACGGTCGCGTAGAAGCCGTAGACGCTCGACGGCGACGACTCGCCGAGGGACGGCTGGGACAGATCTAGATTCGCGTAGGTCGACGCCAGGGACGGCTGCTGCAGCGACGCCTCTTTCGTGACGACGACGGAGTCGTCGTCGCCGCCGCCGTCGTCGTCGCCGCCGTCCTCGTCGCCCTCGTCGAAGGACGCCTCCTCCCGGAAGCTCTCGAAGTTCGTCTCGTCGTCGTCGTCCTCGTCGTCCTCGTCGAGCGCGTCGTCCTCGGCGATGCGCTCGTCGCGGAGCCGCCGCATGCGGGCAGCGGGCGACTCGGCCGGGCTCGCGCGGCCCTCGGTCTCGCGCGGCGGCGGCTTCGGGACCTTGTGGACGCGGACCGCGCCGCGCGACAGGGTCTTCTGGAGCACGGCCTTCTTGAGCACCGTCGCCGGCGCCGCGGGCTTGAGGGACGCCAGCGTCTGGGCCACGCGGAACGCGAGGGGCGTCGCGCGGCCGCTGAGCCGGTCCTCGTCGGGGGCCACCGCCAGGCGGCACCGCTCGACCTGGTTCAGCAGGCTCGGCGGGCAGACGGACGAGTCGAGGGGCTGGTAGAGCTTCATGTAGTCCTGGAGGCTCGGGATCTGGAGCCGGCTCTCGATGGAGTCCTTCTTCCGCCGCTTCGTCTGCCGCGTCCGCCGGATCTTGGCCTTGCGCGTCGTCAGCCGCTCCAGCGCCCCGGACATGGCGTCGGGGTGGAACTTGCCGCCGTCGCTGCGCACGCGCACGGTCCGCGCCGGCCGGCCGCCGACCTTGTAGGTGCCCCGCATGTGCATGGTCTTCTTCAGGGGGGCGGCGGCCGGCGGCTTGGTCACGAGGGACTGGAGCCGCGACGTGCTCCGGCTCGGCGCCGCGGCCGGCTTCTGCATGCTCTGCAGCCGCCCGCCGGACTGCTTCCGTATGGAGTAGTCGCTCCGCATGGCGCCGCGGCCGAGCGTTTCAGCACGCCGAACTCGAGAGAGAGCACACCGAGCGCGCTTGATACACTTTGAGGTCTGCACCGCCGACACGGCAGCCAACGCGATGGTGCTCGTTGGGTAGCCGCCCGCGCCTCGCTTCGCCCCGCGGCTCGACGATGGCCATGGCCCTGTCTCCGACGGCGCGCCTCGTGATGGGCGACGCGCCGCCCCAGAGCGAGAGCGACGAGGACGACTTCGAGGCGCATACGATGACCGGCGCCGTCGCGAGCACGCTGGACCCGTCCGTGCGCTTCGCCAAGTACGCGGAGATCGAGGAGGTCGTCGGCGTGGGCCACCTGCTCTGCGAGGAGTGCGAGCGCGACGAGGCCGTCTGCCGCTGCGAGGCCTGCGCGGAGACGCTCTGCAGCCGCTGCTTCGTGCTCACGCACCCGCCGCGCGCGGGCGGCGCGGAGCACGACCACCTCCGCCACGGCCTCGTCCGCGGCATCTCCGAGGCCGACGCGTCGGGCGCGACGGCGCGCGTGCGCGCGGGCACGGTCGGCTTCGAGGCGCCGGGCTGCCACTTGTGCCACGACGGCTGGGACGGTTCGACGTCCGAGCTCACGGAGGAGGACCTGTTACGACGCGGCGTCGACCTGGCCAAGTCGACCTGTCTGGAAGCGCCCAAGATCAACTACTGCGTCGGCGACGTCGAGCGCGACGTCGAGGGCGAGGCGCACGACTTCCGCGCGGGCGAGGTCGTGCTCATCGTCTCCGAGGAGGGCGACCGCGAGGACCTCGAGGAGCAGGAGCTCTGGGAGCGCGCGCGCGCGGAAACCAAAGGGGACGACGACCAGACCCCCGCGGTCGTCGGCCGCGCGCGCTTCAAGCGGCGCGTCGGCGCCGAGGACGAAGACGACGACTCGAGCCGGTCGTCCGCGTCCCGGTTCGTCTCGTCGACGCCCGTGTCGCGGCTCCGGCGCGAGCGCTGGGGCGTCATCTTGGACGTGCCGAAGCGGTCCTACCGCAACATCAAGCCGACGAAGTACAAGCGCGGCGACGTGCCCGGCGTCGCGCGCATCGTCGGCGACGGCGGCGAGCACCTCTACCGCGTCCAGTCCCAGGGCGAGGCGAGCGGCAACTACGCCTTCGAGTGCGAGGCCGCGGAGAACGAGCGCGTGACCTACCTCGCGGGCCTCGACGACGAGCTCAAGAAGCAGACGGGCTTCATCGCCGCGGCGCGCTTGGGCTTCGTCACGCGGAACGCGTCGCAATTCCGCGCGCCGCCGCGGCTCGAGCTCGACGCGTCCAAGCCCGTGGTCCTCTGCCGCGACGAGCACCTCGTGCGGCCCCGGGACCGGCTGAAGGTGCTTCTCAAGGCGCGCGAGGCCGCCTGCGCGGCCGTCGTCGCGGCCGCGGACCGGCGCTACGCGGGCGAGATGCGCATGGCCATGTTCTACTACTGGGTCGAGGTCACGCGGATCCTGCGGCGCGAGGAGCGGAGGACCAAGGCGACGGTCATCAATCTGTGGTGGCGCCGCAAGCGGCTCCAGCTCCGCCACGACGCGCTGAACGCGAGCGTCATGGAGGAGGCCTACGCGCGGACGCGGCGCATCCACGCGCAGTTCAAGTACCTGACGACGGACGAGGAGAAGCGCCAGGGCTACACGACGGACGGCCGCGTCTACTTCAAGACCCTGGAGGAGCTCAAGGAGTACACGAAGCTGCTCCGGGAGAAGGGAGAGATGATCTGCGACACGATCATGGCGACGGCGGCGGCGAACCTGCTCGCGGCCTTCCAGCTCTGGCGCGACGGCTGTCGCACGCTGCGGGAGCGGCAGGCCGTGGGCAAGACGCACGTCGACCGGCTCACGCCGGCGCAGGAGGCGGAGCTCGCCGCGGGGCTCGACGGCTGGCGCGACTTCGAGACGACGGATTCGGCGGCGAACGCGCCGTGGCACCCGGCGCTGGGCCTCGCGCTGCCGCCGCTCCCGGATCTGCACAGCGTCCGGCGGCCCGGCGGGCCCGGCCGCATCGTCCACGACAAGACCAAGTTCAACTCCATGCTGCGGACCATGGCGGGCCCGGCGGAGTGCGTCAACTGGGTCATCCCGGGCAAGCTCCTGATGGGCGCGTTCCCCGCGGGCCCCGCGAAGCTTTCCAAGCAGAACCGCGGCGAGGAGACGGGCCTCAACGAGATGGGCGGCGTCTCCGCGGCGCTCCTCTACGTGGGCGTGCGCGCCTTCGTGGACCTCATCCCCGACGACGAGGCCGAGGCGTACCAGGAGCAGCTCGGCGACCAGTGGGCGAAATTGGAATCCATGGGCCGCGCGCTGCTCATGCAGGACCCGCGCGCGTCCTACGACGCGTGCCACATGTACGGCGACGACTACGACGACGACGACGAGGACCACGCGCCCCTGAGCGGCTGCACGTGCGCCATGCAGGCCGCGCTCGACAAGGTCCACGTCCGCGAGAGCGGCGTCTTGGTGAAGGCGAACACGGCGTACTACATCGCCAAGCAGGAGGTCAAGGTCTGCCCGCGCTACCACGTCAACGACATGCGCCACGAGCAGGCGGAGCGCGACTACTTCATCGCGTTGGCGAAGGAGCGCATGACGATGCACAACGTCGACCGGTCGAAGCGCGCGCTGAAGATGCTGCCCCACCGGCTGCGGACCTACCGCCTACCCATACGCGAGGGCCACTGCGGCGAGGAGGCGCGCGTCCTGCGTTTGTGCGAGGCCATCGAGCGCGAGATCCGCGCGGGCGTCGCGGTCTACGTCTACAGTCGCCTCGGCCACGGCCGCGCGGGCATGGTCTGCGCGTTCGTCCTCGGCCGCCTCTACGGCATCCCCGCGGTGGAGGCTCTGGAGCGCGTCCAGCTCTACCACGACGCGCGGCGCGCGGTCGTCGACAGCAAGCGGCCCTTCTCGTGCCCGCAGACGCTCCGCCAGAAGGCCATGGTCGACCACTGCATGATCCACACGGACACGATCTACTCCGAGCGGTCGACGCACAGCCGCTGGAAGAAGACGTCCTACACGCACGCGTCGCGGGGCGGCGGCGTGCCGTCCATGGGGCTGCCGACGCTCGAGCCGCTGGACGACCGCGAGAAGGCGAGCTTCCGGGTCAACGCGGGCCTCGTCCACGTCCCCTCGGAGAAGCCCTACTTCTCGCTGCGCGACGCGCCCGTGCCGGACATCGTCAACCTGCGCGCGCGGCCGGCCGTCTGCCACGCGCCGTCGCTCCGGTCGCTGCGGCCGCGCGACATCCACGAGGAGCTGTCCCTGCCGCTCGTGACCTACGACCTCCGGCCGCCCATGCCCACGCTGCCGCCCGAGGGCGAGGACTAAGAAGCTGCCTCGGCCATCCACCCCTCGTTGCCCGAGGCCGACGACTAAGGAGGCGAAGCCTAGGCCATCCACCCCTCGTCGCGCAGCAGGTCGAGCGTGTCCTCGAGGGCCGCGTGCGTGCCGATCCACGAGCCGAGGTCGCGGAGCGCCGCGTCCCGCCCGTCGCCGTCCGCGGCGTCGTCGTCGACCTCGAGGTAGCCAAAGTCGAGGTCGTCGCCGCCGCCGGCGCACTCGTCGCCGGCGTCGACGGGTTTCGGCGACGCGTCGCCGCCGAGGCGCGCGACGCCCGATACCGCGGCCTCGAGGGCCGTGAGGAAGTAGAGCGCCTCGCTCCGCCGGTCCTCGAGGAGCGCGTCGCCGACGCCGTAGACGCGGCAGAGGTAGAGCGCGACGTGGGGCTCCGCCGGCGCGTCGCGCGTCGCCAGCACGTAGACCAACAAACCCAGCAGCTCGTCGCCGCCGAGCGACCGGTTTGGCGCAAGCGCCCGCACTCCGCGTGGAGCTCGCGCGCGGCGTCGAGGAGCGTCTCCACGAGGGCCGCCGGCGCCGCGTCGGCGTCGTCGAGGCGCGCCAGGGCCGCGGCCGCGGCCGCGTAGGGGCCGAGCATCGCGCCGTCGCCGACCTGTGTGGAAATCAAATCTTCAACCCGACTTCAATGTGCGCGTAATCGAACGGTTCGGACCAGACTCTTCGGCTGTGCTTCGAGAACTCGACGAGAGCAATCGATTCGTCCAAAAATCAGCCAAATCGACTTCGATTTGACTGAGCTAGAGAATTCTGAAGTTTGGCCCCGACGTCCCAGCTCACTGGTTGATTTCCACACAGTCGCCGACGCCCACCGCCGCGGCCGCGGCGTCCCGGTCGTCCAGGACGACGGCCGCGCGCGCCAGGGCCCGCCGCTCCCGGTAGCGCGCGTCCCGCGCCTCGAGCTGGGGCCGCCGGTTCGGCGGCACGAGCAGGCGCCGCGTCGCCCTCCGGTGCGCGAGGCGCGCCGCGCGCGACCGGAGCGCCCGCTCCGACTCCGGGGGCACCGCGAAGCTCCGGAGCGCGTGCTCCGCGAAGTAGTTGGCGAAGCCGACGATCTCGCGCGGCGTGATGGGCTGGCCCCGCACCTTGTCGAGCCAGCGCGCGAGGAGCCGCCCCTCGCGCTCGCGCTGGTCGAGCAGCGCGCCCTCGACGTCGAGCTCCGCGGCCTCGCGCGATGCCGCGTCGCCGCGCGCGAGGGCGCCGGCGGCCGCGGCCACGGTCTCCCGCCGCCGCGGGCCGGACCGCCGCTCGATGACCGGCTGCAGCGCGCGGACCGCCGCCGCTTGATCCTCGACCTCGGCCTCGCACGCGTCGAGCCGGCGCCGCGCGTCGACGAGCGGCTCCCAGGCCCCGAGCACGTCGCCGGGGCTCCGGCCCGTGAAGGCCTGCGCCTCGACGACGTCGCCGGGCCCCGCGCCGACGGCCAGCGCCTCGCCCGCGCGCGCCTCCAACGCCGCGAACGCCGCGGCGGCCATGTCGCGCTGCAATCTCGCGCGCCGCGCGCGCGCGTCGCCGAGGGCACTGAACGCGGGCGCGACGGACGCGAGGCCCCAGCGCACGAGCTTCACCTCCTGCGACAGGCGCAGCTCCTCGAGGCGGTCGCCCTCGGCGGCCAGGGCCGCGGCCGTCGACCGCCAGGTCGCCATCTCGCGGTGGAGGTCGGCGCGATAGTTCTTGAGGAGCCGCGCCGCGCGCTGCTGCGACGTCGCCGACCCGCCCCAGGACAGCACGACGTCGATGGGGTCCAGGGACGACACCATCATCGCGCCTCTAGAAGCGCATTTCGCGGCAACCCATCGTACTTGATTTGGGAGAAGCCGACGCTGCCCCACGTCGGGCAGTGCTCTGCTGATTCGAACGCCTTCGGCGCTCGTCGGCGGCGGCCGCACATGCGAGACGCCGGCCGCGAGGTCGGCGTGTTGGAGAGCAAGGCGGAGCCGCCGCCGGAGCCGGCGACGCCGCCGCCGCCGCCGCCGCGGCCGCCGGCGCCGCCCGCGACCGCCCCAGCGGCGCCGGCGGTTTCGGCGCCGAAGACGACCGTCTCCCCGACGCCGCCGGCGATCTCGCAGCTCCGCGCGTCGGCGTCGCCGTTCACCTTCGCGCCGCTGCCGCCGGCCGCGCCGGCGCCGCCGGCCTCGGATCCGCGCGCGGCCGGCCGGCACGCGCCGAGCCCCGTGCTCTCGGCGCCGGAGCTCTACGCGCGCGCGGGCTGGCTCACGCCGCAGAACGAGTTGAACGTCTACCCGGGCTCCGTGCCGGGCCAGTACGAGACGCCGACGTCCGTGCTCTACCCCGAGGGCGAGTCCGACTCGCCCGACGAGCCCGACGACTCGGACTCGGGCTCGGACATCGAGAACTTCAAGATCCCGGAGACGCTCGAGGACATCTACCGCATCTCCAACCGGAACCGGCGGCGCCAGCGGGCGAGGAAGGCCGCGGGCAAGGACAAGCCGCCGGACCCCGACGAGCCCTTCGACCCCGAGTTCGTGGAGACGGAGGAGACGCGGCGCGCGGACCGGGAGGTCTACGAGAAATACTGGAGCCCGGAGGCCGGCGGCGGCGACTGCTCGACGGAGGAGTTCCTGAAGCTCATCGGCTGGGACGACCTGGGCCTCGACGACGAGCCGCCGCTCGCGCCCGCGGCGGCCTGGCGGGAGCGCCGCCGCCGAGGCACAAGACGCGGGGGAAGAAGCCGAGGTAAGGCGCGCGGCCTAGGCGCGGTAGATGCGGAGGGACGGGGCCGGCGCGTGGTCGCCGAGGAGCGCGTAGCCGTTGGCCGGCGGCGCGTGGGCCGGGCCCGGGGCCTTGTAGACGCCGTTGCCGTCGGGCGCGTCGATCCACCACTCGCCGTCGGCCTGGTTGTGGTAGACGTAGGCGCCGTTGGCGTGCTTGAACCAGGTCGCGCCGGCGTTGAGCTGGGCCCACATCTTCGCCGTGTCCCAGCCCTGCGCGCGGCAGACTTTGCCGAAGCCCGGCGGGATCTCCGAGGCCGGCGCGGCGACGTACTCGCCGCGGACGTCCTCGGCGCCCGCGGCGTCGACGACGAGTCGCGCCACGTTCACGGGCTTCCGGGACGCGCCGAAGGCGTCGAGGACCTTGAGCACGTCGAGCGCGCGCGACTGCTTGGCCACGGCGCGCGCGGTCTCGCCGCTCCCGCCGCGGAAGTTCGGGTCGGCGCCGGCCTCGAGGAGCAGCTTCGCGCCCACGGCCAAATTGTTCGACGCCATGCGGTGCAGGGGCGTGTAGCCGTAGGTGTCGACGGCCTCGACGTCGCCGCCGAAGGCGACGAGCAAGTCGACCTGCGCCTGGTTCTTCCGGCTCATGCCGCAGTTGTGGAGCGGCTGCGCGCCGCCCGTGGACACGTCGTTGACGAGGTCCGGGTACTTGGTGAGCCAGGCGCGCAGCGCGGCGGCGTCGCCGAGCTTCTGGCACGTCGGCGTGTAGCCGCCGCCGCTGTAGACCGGTCCCGGGCGCGGGTTGTGGTTCTGGTACTGGCGGCCGACGACGACCTGCCCGAGCGCGTCGCGCTTGACGCTGCCGCCGTAGATGCCCGGCCCGACGCTGTCCGCGTAGGGGTCGAAGCCCTCGTTGTCCGTCTGGCCGGGCGCGCCGTACTTCTCCGCCATGCCGGCGGCGTAGGGGTCGTGGGTGATGCGCACGCCGTCGGCGCGGTAGTAGCCCATGCTTCTGCGGATCGTGGCGAGGACGAGGAGGCTGCGGCGGATCATGCACGTGCGCTGGCGGTGCTTGCAAGTGCGCTGGCGGCGGCGGCGTTTGGAAGGCAGGGTTATCACCTCTGTCGTGGCAGAAATGAAAATCGACGGCATCTCGGATAAATTGACATCAAGTTGCACTTCGGCGCCAAACGGACGGCCAGCTCGGCCTCGGCCACTTCTCCGACGTCTACGCGCCGACCGCGCGGCCCGCTGCCCTCCGCCTAGGCCGGCGCCGGTGCCCAGATGCACCGCACCCGGTTTGGTTGCCTCCACTCGCGGCTTAGAGCGGGGCAACGCTTACACTCGGAGGCGCGGAAGCGGCTCCGACACGCGCGCCGCGCGGGGAGAGGACCGATGACGCGCGTGGCGGGTGTCATTGGAGCGAGCCGACGTGGCCCGCGCGGTCGACGTCGCGGTAGGGCGAGTCGCGCCGCTTGTGCGGGCTGTTCTTGTCGTGGAGCGAGTAGTTGGCCATCATGCAGACGCAGTCGTGCTCGACGTGGAGCAGGCTCAGGTCGTTGCGGTGGTACGTGCCCAGCGGGTTGATGTCCAGCTTGGGCAGCCCGTCGAACGTCGCGTGCTTCGGGAGCTCCGCCAAACCCGCCTCGTCGGCGAAGAGCGTCAGCACGACTTTCTTCGGCTTGAAGACGGCGAGGACGTTCTTCACCAGGGACGCGTAGCCCTTCAACGCCGTGTTCGTCTCGAAGGACGCGTAGGAGCACGACGCCTCGGGCGTCACGTGGACCGTGGTATAGGACTCGAAGCACAACGCGTTCATCGAATAGCCGCACGGCGCGAACGCGTGGTCGTCGAGGTGGGACGACGACGGGATCAACGCCCCCAAGCCCGACCGCGCCGTCATGGCGCGCGCCGCGGACCGCAGGTCGCCCTTCTCGCCGGGCTTGAGGTAGAAGGCGTCGCGGACGTCCTCGCCGAGGTCGAACATCATGATGTTGATCGTCCGCTCCGTCGCCGACGCCGCGGGCCGCTCGCACTGGTCCGCGACGTAGACGAACCAGTGGTCGCCCGTGATGGGGCCCAGCACGTAGCCCTGGCCGTCGAAGGCCGCCGCGGCCGCCGCGCCGCCGACGGACCGGTCCAGGCCGCCGTCCTCGTCGGCGTCCTTCTCGACGTCGCGGTGCGCTCTTAAGTACGCCAGCTCCTCCCCGAAGGACGTGTGCGGGCTCGGCTGCTCGTCGGGGAAGGCGTAGTTCTTCCGCGAGTAGCCCACCCACTCGAGCTTCAGGCCCAGGCCGCCGAACTCCGCGGCCTTGGTCGCCGCGTCCACCAGGGGCCGCACGCACCGGAGCAGCGTCGTCCGCCCGCAGGTCTTGATGACGACCTTGAAGGGGTAGACGAAGAGCGACGACTCGCTGAGCACGTAGGCGTCGAGGTGGGCGTTGGAGATGTGGCTCAATATCGTGCACCGCGCCTCCGTAAGCATAGTGTCGAGCTGCGCCCTTGTTAGGTCCCGGCAGCCGCGCTCCCGGCCGACGCCGGGCAGGAAGCAGACCTCGAGCGTCTTCTCCGGGCCCTCGAAGACGCCCACGGACTCGGGCACGCTCGACTCGTCCATGGACTGGGAGTGGGGCCGCGGGCTCAGGTTGTCGTCGTCGAGGAAGAAGTCGCCGCAGGCGCCGTGGTCCAGGAGGTTCTCGTAGGCCAGCACGCCGGCCATCGTTACTGTGTAAATGGCGTCAAAATCGCGATCGGTCACGCGCCCGCGTCGAGTTTCACGCTGGCCACGCTCTCAGCCCATCGCTGATGCCCCAGCGGCAGATTTCTTCTTGCAAAGCCCGCTCCATTGGCCGTCGGCGGCCGGCGGCCTGCGAGCCGTGGGTGCGCTGGGAGTCGAGCTCTGCTTTTGGGGCGTTGCGTGTAGGAGATCCGACGGACGAGGGTCGGTGGTGTGGCCGCGCGCGCGCCGCGGGACCGCGCGCGGTCCGACGCGAATTCCCAGGCAGCCAGCCGCTCCCGCCGTCGGCTCGCGGGTGGACCGCGGGCAACCAGGACGCCTCCCCAGACCGCTCGCGCGTGTCACGCATCAGCCCGCTCGAGGCCGGCGGCGACGAATTTTGCACGAGCTGAGCTGGACCTTGAAGGACGGAGCTTTTTACGCCATCCTCGTCGTCACCGAGCTGCAGCAGCGTCGAGCCGCGGTTCTAGAACGATGGCGCGCCTCGTCTGCCTGTCCCTGGCGGCGGTCGCCGGCGCCCTCGTCGGGAGCCGCAGTCGCCTGCCCGCGCCGGCCGCGCGGTCGAGCCGCGCGACGACGGTCATGAAGGACTTCGCGAAGCCCAACGTCGAGGACACGATCCCCTACCGCGAGGCGTCGACGCTCAGCGACCGCTTCCCGAACGAGCTCTACGCGCCGGCGCCGCAGAAGAAGAAGGTCGCGATCATCGGCGGCGGCCTCAGCGGCCTCTCGTGCGCCAAGTACCTGAGCGACGCGGGCCACGAGCCCACGGTCTACGAGGCCCGCGACGTGCTCGGCGGCAAGGTGAGCGCGTGGCAGGACGCGGACGGCGACTGGATCGAGACGGGCCTGCA